GATCCCCGAGCCCTCTCCGAGTAGGCGTCCCCGGTCGGTCATTCCCAGTCGGCCCCGACCGTGTCGGTCAGGGAAGAGCTACAAGCAGAGGTCTGGCGTATCCCCGGTCGAAAAAGGAGGTCGAAGTTGGACTATGTCCCCACCTTGGCCAGGCCTTCCGGTCGGGGACCGGATCGTTCTCCCGACCTGTCATTAGGTATCTGGGCCGGGCCAGGAGGCGCGCATTGTCGCTACGCCGTCTGCTGGGCCGAGTTTTTGCTGGGAAGCGAGCCCATTGGGGGCCCCGGGTTTATGAACCCGACACGATGTATTGATGATATTTTCAATAGGTCAGACCTTTCAATCTAGATCCTTAAAGACTATAGTACTAGTAAATGGACATTAAAGCATATGGTGAACACGCTGCAGCTATTTGGACTAAACAATATTCGACTCGGTTCCAAGGAAGCCAATGCGAACTGCAGAGTGATGGCAGTTCATCTAAAATGGAATTTGATTTTCCTTATTGGGGAGGACAGAACACTGATGGCATATGACATGAGCCGTAGAAAAGTTCATGTCCTCCCTGCCCGGGTCATCCGCTATCCTAGAAGTACTTGGAGTATTTATTTGAACGGACCTCACTATCTGCCATATGTTTCCTTATTCATGGAGTCATTAGTAGAGCAATAAAGGTGCATATATTGTATTTTGTTGTTAGGACATGTCTTTGTTCAGGTAGGGAGTTGTTTTGAGTCTATATATATAGTCCAATTTTGTTCAGAGCAGTAAAGCTTTGCATTGTACAGGTTTTGGAGTGTCAGTGCTTTTGAACGATTTTTCTACAATAGCTATTGGAGGAAGAAGAATGGTTCCATGGTGCATTAGCTGCCAAGCTGATCAAGGAGTGCCAATCTGAAGGAGCGGAGCACATCTACCTCGTTTTAGATACGTAAGTTTATAGGGAGCATAACCTTTATTATGTTATCTATGTACCACTTGTGTTAATTCATACTTGACACAGTTGTTATGTTAGTATCGACCATTGTTATTATAACAAGTACTATTCGTTGTGGACATGATGAATGATGTGTAATGATTATATCTGTATAGTGTGTGTTCAGTAAGTTATTAAGGCACAGCTAAATTAGTAAATACATTGTGAAAACTAGATGCAATTCTGTCACCATCGGATGTAAGGGACGTTGGTTGTTTTGTCATCACTACCGTACCACTCACCGTTGGTGAAGCAGACGGCCATCACCGCCACTATTCGTCTGATGCGGCAAGGGTCAATAGTGTATCACCGCCGTATCATTTAGTAACCCGACACCGACTAAAGGATCATCACGGGCGGATCGTACTGCAACGCGACAGTGACCATGCCCTATGACTAGACGGTTCATACGCTGAAGTGACGGTGATGTTCGCCTCGACACAGGCGGGTCGTGCTCCAATGCGACGGAATAAGAATCTAATCATGGACGATCATAAGCCATGCGGCGGTGTTAGTGCATACTCACACAGACGGGTCGTGCTCTAATGCGATGGAAGTGAGGACCTTTATCATGGACTGATGATAAGCCAATACGGTGGTGTAGTGTGCCCCCAGTTGGTCTCAGATACCGACAGTGATGGCTATAACTATCATTGTCGATAGCTCACTGCCGAGGTCGAAATTGGACTGTGATGAGGGTTGCGACGTGGCTGTGAAAGGTCCGAGTGCAATAGTGCCTCTAGTAGTCATTGATACATGATTTTAGGACATGTAAATTTAATGTCATGTAAGAAAACATCCAAGCAACTGAGCAAGCACATTTGTAGGGGGATATTTAGGCACGTAAAAGTTACATCTATCCGGCGATATGAAGAGCTTCAGCATTGTTCCACCTCCATGTTCCAGCGGAAAACATTGACGGAAAGGAAAAGCAAAGGAAGAATCATGGCTCTATTGTCAAGAGACCCTATGCTATATTGTCATGTTGTACCTGGAAACTGAAATACTCCTAGATTAGATAGATATACTCCTACATTCAGTTCAACTGTTGTGTCCTCAGTGGCTACGGAAGGTGACACCGCAGCAGTCAGCTAAAGTGAACCCTTCCCTTGGCAACAAAGAATGCCAATTTGAATTTTTTATGCCGTATGCACAATATGCCACAATTTGATACTAGTGGTGGCCTGGTGGGTACCCGTAAGAAACTGATGCGCCAGTTACGGTTGATCTATACTAATCTCCAGTTTCCTAGGACTAGCTTGGGGCAACTAATCTAGAGGAGGTTTGGTTTCTCCTCCTAAACTTTATTTGTTATTTCATCGGATGTTTAGATACATGTATGGAGTATTAAATATAGACTAATTACGAAACTAATTGCACAGCTTGCGACTAATTTACGAGACGAATCTTTTAAGCCTAATTAGTCTATGATTTGACAATATAGTGTTACAATAAACATTTGCTAATGATGGATTAATTAGGCTTAATAAATTCGTCTCGTGGAGTACTTACGAATTCTGTAATTTGCTTTTTTATTAGTATCCAAACACCCCATGCGACATCTTCACGTGACACCTCCTAAATTTTAGTCACCGGATCCAAACACCCCCTTAGACCAGGCCGCACATATACAGCATGTTCGCTTGTTGGTTTCAGTCAGGGCTTATCAGCCATGGTACAATATTTTTCTCTTAGAACAAACCAGCACCAACCAGACTTATCAGCCCAGAAATCAACCCGCGAACAGGCTGATAGTATATTGTCAATGTCTGGGGATATCTTAATAAATGTTAAAACATGCATGGATCTAGTTTGATAAACGAATCATGTTCATTCATATATGTATTGCTAAGTCTCAGGGCTGGAGTTTAGTCAACTAGGAGGGATCGTAGTTGGGGCGGGGCATGGCCAGCACTATTAAATGATGATGCATGGCTGCAGCGTGCAGCGGTCTACCATGTTCATTCATTCATACTGCATCTGCACTGCAGCAGAGCACGGTCCGTCCCCTACGGTCGGTCCATCCTTGTTTCTCTCTCATATCATCACGCTTCACATGTACCTTCCGGCCGGCCACATGAAGATGGAGGAGATTCCAATTTCCACCCAACGACTTAGATACCTTATTGAACATTTTTTTTTAAAGTCTTACTGCTGCAGCTAATTCTCTCAATATATATTTGCATCCCAACCAGGAAATCTATGTACTAGCCATTCTCTACCAGAAATTATTTTGCCTTTTAGAAAATGATTCAGTGTGTCCAAATTCCAACTGGTGCAAAGAGATACATATATGCATGGTTTGGGCGCGCAGCTGCCCATGACTTTTTGTTGTTTGAAGTTTTTTTTTTCATTTTCTTTTCGTCCGAGCGAGAACCGAGATGTTCTGTTTTTCACGCAGGTCGATCTAGCTGCACGAAAAATAGTACTCAGCATAAAGTTGGTGTGCTTCGGCTTCACTTTCAAGTTCCTGCAGCTTGCAGCTATCCTTTAAAGCTGCACAGAAAGCCAGCTTTGGAGGTAAACTCACCCATGTGGAATAATAATACCAAAACAGATGGCGTACAAGGCCTTGTTTAGATTTCAGTTTTTTCACTCTCTCTCTATCACATCAAATCTTTGACACATGCATGAAGTATTAAATGTAGATAAAAAAATAACTAATTACACAGTTTAATTATAAATTACGAGACGAATCTTTTGAGCTTAGTTAGGCTATGATTGAACAATAATTGTCAAATACAAATGAAAGTGCTACAGTGTCAAATACTGATTCCTAACCACGAACTAAACGAGACCCAAGTAAGTTTCAGCAGGTACACATTAGGAGTACACCGTACCATTTCTCTGCTCTTACAGGAAAAATCAAAGGCCCACTGGCATCGAACAGCAAATTACCACTACCATTTACTGATTTCATGATCTTAGTGGAATGTTTTTCGAAAGGCAGTATAGATGTAGACACTTTCGTACAATTCGTTCGCTCATATAAATACTGGCATCACTCATACTCACATGAATATATAGTACGCATAGACACTCTACTCGGTTATCTCCATGAGACTTAAGTCAGACAGATTTTGAGATTAACAGACACTTCTTAGCTGACAGGCATGTTGTTTACTGGTAAATGTCGGCACCCGTGCTTGAGTCAAACCTAAGAGGATAGGTTCACCGTAAGGAATCTAACTAGCTGATTGCCATTTTAGTATACTTATTATTTCAATAACTTTGAATTAACTTTTGATTGTGAAAATAGGATTTTAAAAATGCTTGAGCGTATATAACGTAGTGTCCTCATTGAATGATTTGTACACATTGTTTGGTGGATTCGAAATCATATAATAAAGATAAAATAATGATATAGATAGATATAGGTGGAAGTTCCTATTCCCTCCCTCAATTTCAACCCGGCCCGGGTTTGTTAATTAATCTAGAAAACAAAACATGCGCTTCGTATTAATAGCCATTGGAATTAATCACATTGAGTAACATTTCAATAATTATAAAACAAGAACAAAGGGTGGCAAATGGACCTGTTGGTGTTTCAATCTTGAATACCAAGTATACATCCATAAAGGTGACAGAGACTAGCAGCCTGTTCGTTTGGCTGTGGCTTATCGTAAATGATCGTAAATTTCTAGCCGGAACAGTATTTTTCTCTCACTCAAACCAGCCAGCAGTACTTCTTCATGAACCAGCAACGAAACGAAAGCGTGGACAAATAAAGCAGCTATATATTCTCGCATGGTGACACAATGCAGATGTGCATAAGATAAACACATTATTTTTGGCTTCAGCATGAACAAATAACCACCTATTTTGAGTCCATCGTACTAAAAACACTAGACACACGCTACTATATTGTTCATATCCATGTCATGTAATAAAGTACAAAACCCTCATCGAATTTCGTCAAGGTAAGCGTAGAAGGCTACGTCGCGCACTGCACGACCATAGTGGCACACCACCAAGAGCTAGAGATGTGACCAAGAACTGGAAGATGCAAATTAACCTTATTTAATCAGGAGGCAGCGGTACCTTGCCCTCCTCCGACCACGGACGCTAGAAGCCCGTGCAGCCTGCCGGTGCCCCCGCCGGAGTGCCGCGTTCGGAAGCACAGCGTGGACGTCGGCGACGGCGGCGCTGCACCACCATCGTCGTCATCGTCATCTCCCCTTGAGTTGGACGAGAAGGACGACCGCGGGCTCGCGAGCAGCCTGTTCCTCCGGCTCCGGGTGCACTGCACCTGCGCGCTCTCTTTGGAGTTGGACGGCGGCGCCGACGGTGACCGCGACGGCATGGTATGGCTCCTGCGCAGCTTGGGGAGGATGCTCTGCACGAAGATAGCCGGCTTGGAGGAGAGCAGCTTCTTGGAGGATTGGAACTTGGTGAACTTGGTCTTGGCAGCAGCGCCCTTGCTGTTGTAGTAGGACGGCGGCGGGGTGAGGGGCGGGAGGGTGGTGCTGGAGATGGCGTTCTTGGGAGTGCCCGGCGCCGACTCCCACATGAACGGCACGGAGCCCGCGGAGGCGACGCCGTAGTAGACGCGGAAGGAGGGGTTGGAGACGGAGGCGTCGTCCTTGGAGAGGAAACGACGGTTGGCCATAGTCGCCCTCTCCTCCTCCATGGCGGCCTGGAGCGTCTTCTGGCTTGAGCTCTTGGGGAGCATCCTCGTCCTGTCTTCCTTGTCCAACATTGTCGTCTGGCTCTTCTTGAGAGAATGACAATGTTTGACAAAATTGAGCTTCTTCGGGTATGGAAATAGAGAGGGTGGACGAGATCTCAGTAGTTAGGAGGATGTACAAGAAGGGCCGGCTTTTGGACTATTTGTAGAGACTAGGGCTTTGTTGGCGAAATTTTTTGGAAAATAATATTGTAGCATTTTTATTGTTATTTATCAATTAGTGTTCAATCATAGTCTAATTAGACTTAAAAGATTCGTCTCGTGAATTTCGTCTAAACTGTGTAATTAATTTTATTTTTTATTTATATTTAATACTTCATGTATGCGTCCAAAAATTTGATGTGACGAGGAATCTTGAAAAATTTTGCAAAATTTTGGAAACACTGGAGAGAAAGGGAGGGGGGATATATGAGTAATAGGTAGGTACTCCGTAGAGGAGAGATGTATGTACTAGTAGAGTTATATTCAGGGGTGGCTATTGCGATTGGGGGGCCCAGGTCAGGGTCAGGGAGGCAGGCAATGTGGTCTTGACCAAAGGCACGTGAAGCCATTAGGCTTGGCTCTGACTATGGGATTAATAATCAAGCAATCAAATCCTACTCAAGCAAACATATTAATTGTGCATGGAGACTATGCACCATGACTTTGCCTAATTTGGTTTATGAAAGTAAATAGGTCCACTTATTCAAACAAAATTGCAGCTCGAAAGCGATTATCATCTTAGCTTCAAATTCTAGTGTTGTACTCTGTCTGATTTCAAATGTAAGTTCTTTAGGATATCAAACGGTTTGCCATATAAATTTTTCTAAATCTATGTATTATGAATAACATTCCGTGATAAAGCTAATAGCTTAAACCATATATGTGTGTGCGCACGCTCGCACCAATTTCCATAAAAGAAAAGATCAACTAAAATCCTAAAATGGCCTACATTATTTAGAATCGGAGGTAGCAATTTTTGTAAAATTATATTGTGTATACTCAGTCTGATTAGGGAGTACTAAAAAAAAGAGAGACGCTATATTTCAGGTGCCTGAAATATACAATGTTTTCAGGCGACGGCTTGTAGCTGTTAGATTAGCATCCAGCGGTGACAATCGTCATCCAGCGGTTTCTATTGATAAGCAGACAAAACAGGTCCGTAAGCAGACAAAACGGGTCCGCAACCAAACTCAGAACATAGATCTACTCCTTAACGGGTCCGAAAAACCCATTAAGCTTGCTGGAGGTGTACCGAATAAATAAACATGGGCCTATTTCTTCACATTGAACTGGGCTTTACACAGTGAACCAAAACACAGAAATTTGTCCCACTTAAACCCCCTGCTACAAGTTAAATGTCCCAGCTCGTGCATGTGAAGTCCACAGAATATGGAACACCAGGATCACTGCATAGTCTCACCCGACAAGATTCACATATTAAGATATTCTGAGCAAACAAAGGCACAATGAGTATGATCTTGAAAATTTCAAAACATAAATACGAAAATTGCACATTTCAAATAGTGCAACTAGTACTTGTTGATAATGGGCAATTATACTGTTGCTTTTCCTATACAAAGATCAGACATTTAACTTGAGGCTTATCGTGGCATTTCTTCTTCGTTTGCTCAATCACCACAGAAGATATATCCATATTGACAACATCTTGATAACTATCATCTATCATGTTTTCACCAAATACTGCAACAATCAAGAGAAGATAAACCACATAAGTAATTCCACTAGATCTGAAGTAACGTAGACATCTTGTGTTTAGTATTTGTGGTTAAATTGATCATTACAATTAATAAATAAAAGCACATCTATGCTTGTAACTAATGACGAGGATTTATCTCGGAATCAGCCAGGAAATTCAGTTTTTAATCAGACATTGTGTTTCTTGACAAACTGTCAGAAACTATTCTTAAATGCCATTAGTGAGATTAAGTAGTAGTGACAAAATGACTGTATCATGACGTAGGCTGCAGAAGTATGAAACTTCATAGAGATCAACATTTATTGATATGTCAACTAGGATCTTGAGTGCTTGAGCATGCTTACCAGCGAGATGATCACAAGGCCAGGCTGTAGCGTGTTGCTCCTGCATGTGCTGGGACATCTCATAGCTCTCTAGCTGCAGTGTTCTCTGGTTCAGGAAGCTCTCGCTTGCCTTCAGGTCTGCCTCAAGTGTCGCCTCTGGGTCACTGTCCCTCATCTCAAGATTGGCTTCATTAAAATGAGCAGTTCAGTTTCTTGTCAGATGTTGTACTGCATCAACAAAGGAGTTAGCGGTGAATGAATGGAGTCCTACCTCCTAGGTTCTCAGGAAACTTTACAGAAATGACAAAAAAATGACAACATCCTGAAACAAGCACACAACCACTATGTGTGCATTAGTCAGAAAATGCGTTGAATTCATTGAAGCTTATACACTCTTATTACTCCTACATGCAAGTTCATTGGTATACCTTCCGTTTTTGGTTCTGAAAGAAAATTGCACGAAATTAACTTGAGCCACATTTCTGTCCAGATTCATTGACGTATCCCACCTGCAGTCCTAAACAACAACTACATATTCCGTCCAGATTCACCATGCCAATTTCTTGCAGGCCAAACAGACATGCGAGAAATTCTTCCCAGAATCACTGAAAACGACTTGGGAGTAATCTGTTAGCTAGGAGTACTACTAAAATTTCATTTCTGTTTGGTTCGTCCGAAAACCAACAGATACAGAACTTCAGATACAATTCCTTTGTGTAAGTGATTACAATTTTCACAATAAACATATTACAATTTTTTCTATAGTATGACAGACAAATAACTAAAATGTGTTGGCACAAATCACAAATAACATTTTTTTTCTATAGAAAGACAAGGCCAAAAATATTGACTGTGCTGGCAAAAATCACAATTAACAAATTACATTTCTTTTCTATACTATGACAAAGACAAATAGCTTAAATGTATTGGCACAAATCACAAATAATAATTTTTTTTCTATGAAAGGACAAGGACAAAATTTGGTGTGGGCTTGCACAAATCACAATAAACAAAGCAAAAGGTGTGTTAGCACAAATCACAAAGAAACAAATTTTTTTCTATAAAATGACAAGGACAAAAATTTGGTGTGGGCTTGCACAAATCACAATAAATAAAGGAATAGGTGTGTTAGCACAAATCACAAGAAACTACTAAAAACAAGCTGCTAAACGTTATGTGCAAAGATTAACAATCGTGAGAGCCAGGATAAGGAGCTTAGCGGTGCATAGTTTACCAGAGGGGGGCACAGGGTGCTAGGACATCCATAGCTATGAATCCGCTGATGCACTGGGCAACTTGTCCTTTACCTACCCTCAGAATGTACTGCATAACAAAAGAGAAAGAGAGTCAAGTTCAGATACTCCAATAAGAATAGCAAATGGGCGTGGTACGGCTAATAAGGATCAATTGCACATGCTAAGAACTACAATTGCAGTGCCCAATAGCTGTAATTTACATTGTTGGTGATTGCAATTATGTAACAGAATGTATTATTTGTTTGATTTTCATCAACAGCAGATATTAATAGTAACATAGCACTTCAAAATTCAGTAGTATATTGTGGATGCATCTTATTTCTATAGTACTGCACCAAAACTACTGGAAAGTAGCTTGAGCATATTTTCCAAGCTCTAACGTTTTGTGAACTCAAATTTGAGTATTCTGTATGTGAGAAAATTATATATCACATAGAAACTAGCCATCACCTGAAATGTTCCGGCTACTGTCAGGACTCCACTTCAGATTTGTGACTTTAACTACACTGAAGACCGATGTTATTGCAAAAATCAATCATGTTATAGGTTTGGGAAAGAAGAATATTGTTGATGATACTAACAGTTTGCCTGTGTAGTATAGGTTGCCTAGTATAGGAGGAACCGGCCCCACCAGTTCATTCTCGCTAAGATCTCTGAGAAACAATTTCGGACAAAAGATTTCATTATGGGCTAGTAAAGATAAAGAGACCAATAAGCATAGATTCAAGTGTCTCTTTTTGTACTCACCGGACAGCAAGAGCCTACATGAGGCCAATCACTTCTGGAATTTTGCCAATGAGTCTATTTTCTTGAAGTGACCTGTAAAACAACAATGCAAGGATCAAACGGAAGGACTATATGGTACATATATATGAGGACATAAGTCTGCTGAAGTATAGAAGATTTGAATTGTATGCATATTTATCTAATTCTATTGATATTATGATGCAGGACAAGTTGATAACAACAATGGCAGTGTACGTGTAACAAAGAAAACTAAGAAGAGAAAAGTCAACAATTGAGAAAACAAGGAACAACATATGGAAGTGCAAATTACCAATCAAAAGGAAGCGTGCAGTCCAGTTTAATTTATGTAATTGTCTTGGAAGAAACATGTGACAATTTTCATCTTGTATACCGGTCCAACTCTGCAACAGTTTAGTTCAGTTATTAAAAAACTTGAGCATTTGAGCAATATTATTCATCATCAAACAATCTAAATGATAGTACAATTGGACTATGAAAGTAAAGAGTTTTCCTAGCACAAGCTTTCTGAACATATGTTTTTCCTACTTAATCAAATGTGAAAAGGAAAACAAAATAGTGGGAAAGTTATATCTAAAGACTGGATATTGCACATGTTAAACACCATAATTGTAGAAATTTAGGTGTGCAATTTACTACTTATAAATGTGCAATAAAGAAATGGATATTAAACACAGCTTTCTTGTACAGTATATGCAACACAGTTAAAAGATGTGAGCTCCTACTATTCTACTACAACAGCCAAGAAGAGGATACTACAGACTACAACTATTCAAAATTCAGCTGGTGTACAAACCTCAGCAATGGCTGCTGAAACGATCTCTCCATGCTTCTTCAGAACCATGGTGTACATCCCTTCGTAGCTTAGCCATTTAAATTCAGACCTGTTCGTTCAAGCAAGAAACATCTTCTATATAAGCGACAGAATCAAGACCTAATATATAACTGAATGACATCTCAGGGTCAGTA